TTTTTGCCCTGGGATCTACTGTCCTGGTTCTCTGCTCAGTCCCCTTTTTAAACAGACGAATGGGCAACTTCCCGTGGCTCCAATCGCCAGCCAAAAGGGCACCCAGACCGGTGTATTTTGTATGGAGAACCGCTGCTCCAGGGCGTCGACAAAGCAGCCGTGCAGGGCAAAGCAGCGGCGCCAGCTGACACAGCCGCGCTGGCCGAAACAGCCGCGCTGGTGACCTGTGGAGCTCCTCCGCCTGGGAATTTCCCAGTCTGTGGGCAATAAAAATGTGGCGTCCACTCACCCTCTGCACTTTCACTGGGGGCTGCAATCCTGAGCTGTTCCTAAACAGCCATCTTGGATTGAAGTCTTAAATTCTAATCTTGATAATTTTAAGATGAAATAACCCTTTGTTCTCAAATTTAAATACTCCATATTTTAGTATATTTGTGAGCTAAAAATATAAATGCATACCAAATTCTAGGACAATGTTTTCTTTAAGTAAAAAATGAAGCCTGAATGTTGGTGCCTTTATAAACTAAACAGCTATGGATTTTGGTCTGCTATACCTCTGGGCAGCTCTTGCAGTCACATTCAGTCACATGAGTTAAAGCTCATGTTGTCATCTTTGCTGTCTTTCTTCTTGCCTACCCCTTCCCTCTTTTAGCAATGATGATAATTGTAGTAATAGCAAAAACATAATATAAACATTAAATTAGCATTTTAGCAGGAACTGGATATTTTCATACATAGGATTTCCATATAACTGAACTTTATTGGCTAAAATAAAAAAGCCTTAAATATTTTTGATGGAAATATTTATGAAATTTATATACATTAAGTAAAATTTATGTGAAATATAAAAAATAATTATATATTATCAGAGTTTTAAAATTTTCTTAATGATTAATTGCTTCAAGTTCTGGAACCATTGGTGCTCTTTGGATTTATTTATTCATTCACTTATCCATCCATTCATTCATCCATTCAACAAGTATTTATTGAGTGTTACTATGTTCCAAGGACCATAAAAGGCAGGAGAGATACAGCAGTGAATGAAGCATACAAATAGTGTTGCCCTGATGGAGTCTGAGTTCAAGTTGCAGGATGTTTGCCTATGTAACAAATGGGCCTTCACTGCTGTGGTTTTAGTTGTTCTGTCTCCTCCCTCTGCTCTCAGCTGTCATCTCTTGCTGGCACCCTGTCTCTCCCTTTTTATCAGGGTTACAATTGCAGGTCTTTCCCCTCAGCATCTCTCTAAGTCAATAATAGACCATATCGTTGGATGAAGCCCAAGCAGTTCCTATGCTCGCAGTAGATGTGCTGCTTCTGGCCCTTGTGAGGAGTTCTTCTATCACTATTCTCAGTGTTTGGAACAAACATCTTCCTTTGCTTCCTTTCATCATTCATGTGCTCAGTTCTAGTAATCTGATTCAATTCTCAGGCCCAAAGGTCTCTGCACTGTATATGTGTAAATGGACTTGTAGAAAAGTAGCCATCACCAAAGTGATATTAGATTCTAATATCACAATAAAAAACATGATCTTTCTCATGATTGTGGTAGCTTTCCCCAAAAACTTTCTGAACTGCCACATAAATATAGAATGGCAGGCACCAAAACTTTCAAAAGGAAAATAAAATTTTCCTATACTCCCATGTTTTAGTCATTGCTAAAAACTGTGTGGTAGAAGCTCATGGAGACAAACAAGGATTCTGAATTGCATTTAAGGAAATGGTGGAAACTAAGGTGAGAAGGAGTATCTAAAACTCATTCACAGACTCAGCAGATGTTGGAGTTGAAAGGGGGTCAGCCTGTGTGGTAGTGAAGCATGGTGGTTAAAAGCTCTGGCTCTGGGACCAGATTGCTATGCCTCTTACAACTGTTGGACCTTGGCCTGGCATCAGCATCCCCATGCTTCAATTTATTCATCTGTAAAATGGTACGTTCTTCAGAGGATTGGGAGGATTAAATGAATGAATGCAGGTAAGATGCCTGGTATTGTGTCTGGCACACAGCAAACACTTAAGTGTTAGCTATTATTATCTCAATCTCTTCCACATATGTTTACAGATGGAGATACAGCCCTAAGATTTTAACTGAACAGCAAGTTAGAGGTAAAACCAATGCCAAAACCAGGTGTCTTGATTCTCACCATATTACAGATTTTTTTTCCCTGATATCTTGCTTACTTAACAAATGGGAAGAAATACTGAATTATGTAAATTATTATAAAATGACAACTCAGTTATATACAAGTCCCTCTTCCCCTCTAAAAGAGAAACATACAAATACACCTTTGCCCAGTGCTAGTCCCCCAGCTCCCAGTGGGCGGGATTAATTCTCTAGAGGCAAGTGACAGAGCTCAGGAGGCCAGGTGAAGTGTAAGAGTAGGCACTAACAAGGCAATCATTTCCTTCCTTACCTTAAACTTGTCAACTTCAGCTTTCGAACATGTTGCATGGTAGGATAGCACCTGATTCAGAAGAAAAAAAATAATTTTAATAATTAGACATGACTGTATTTTCTGAAATTCTTCTGGCTTAAAAATAAACTTTGCTCATGTATGTTACCTGATTTAAAGGTGGAATTTAATGTATGACAAGAAACAACACATCTAATAACATTCTCTGACATAATTCACATATTAAAAAATGTTTTATACCAGGATTTTTCTATTGATAGTTATATTATCAAAAGGACAACAGCCAAGTGCAGTGCTTCACCCCTGTAATCCCAGCACTTTGGAAGGGTGAGGTCGGCAGATCACTTGAACCCAGGAGTTTGAGAACAGTCTGGGCAACATGGTGAAATCTCATCTCTACAAAGAATCCAAAAACTCTACTAGCTGGGTACGGTGGTGTGTGCCTCAAGGCCTAGCTATTCAGGGAGGCTGAGATGAGAGGATCACCTGAGCCCAGGAGGTTGAGGCTACAGTGAGCTGAGATAATGCCACTGCACTCCAGCCTGGGTGACAGAGTAAGACCCTGTCTTAAAAGAAAAAAAAAGGACATGATGTGACTTAAAACCACAATTCCCAAAGGATGTGAATACTTGTCCTGTGAAATGCTCTGAAAACAAATGTTGCCTATTCTCACTTGCCTGCTTTTATTATGTTAGAAAAGATTATACTGCTATGATCTTTTAAAGGGTATCTGTGATCCTTTAATAAGAGGATTGTACTTCCTTGCCCTATTGACATCAGCATTGGCACGTGACTTCTTTTGGCTAATGGAATGTCGGGGAAAGTAACAAATGCCACTTTGACTATGTCTTCAAAAGCAATGACATGGCTCTGCCACCTCCTTTTTGCCTCCACCATGGGAAGGGCATGGCCTGAGAGGGGCCGATCCTTCAGTCTCAGCCCCCAAATAAAGAAGACATATTGAGCTGAGCTGCAGCCAGCCTGCAGCTGATGACATGTCATGTGAGTGAGAATCAACCTTCACAATTTATCTATGTCATAACTCACTGATACAGAGGTTTAAAAGTAAAAAGCCAATTCGCAGGCTCCCTGCAGCTGGGGGTGGTCCTATAGGGTAGCCTTTATGACACTGCCTTGGTTAGTGAATTATAAGTGAGAATGTTGGTGCTGCTGCTTTGTTGTTGTTGTTGTTGTTGTTTTCCTTTGTGGAATACAGCTGTAAAGCCTGGAAGTGCAGCAAAATCTGGTATGTATGATGTGACAAGCATGGCAGTGAATGCCAGCTTGCTGTGGATAGTAGAACAGAGAGGGAAAGAGAAAGAAGCCTGACCCTGGGCTCCCCTGCCCCAGACTTCTTGTTTTGTGGGACAAATAAATGCACATTGGTGGTATTTTATAAGGCATATTTACAGACATATGCACACTCACACGTAAATAGCATGTGTATGTTTTATGTTTTATGCTGTCAGACACCTTTTTTTGTTGTTTGGTTTTGTTTCTGAGGCAGGTCTCACTCCAATGCGCAGGCTGGAGTGTAGTAATGTGATCATAGCTCACTGAAGCCTTGACCTCCTGGGCTCAAGAGATTCTCCTGCCTCAGCAATTCAAGTAGCTGCAACTACAGGCATACACACTATGCTCAGCTAGGCTTTGTATTGTTTTGTAGGGACACGAGCCTCATCATGTTGTCCAGGCTGGTCTGAAACTCCTGGGTTCAAGCGATCTTCTTGCCTCAGCCTCCCAAAGTGCTGGGATTACAGGCACGAACCTGTGTGTCCGGACTGCATTCTTAATCTATATAAACCTCAAACAAATAAGTGTGGGAAATGCTAACTCCTTCACCTACCAACCTTAGGAAACTATAGTGTACATTTGGCTGTGAAAAATAAAGTAACACGCTTTATTTCATTAAACACAGTATTTCCCAAATCCAATTAGCCACAGAACTCCCTTTTAGGTAATATTAAACTGGTAACATTCACTCTAATAACCTATTGACCAAGAACTTTGAGAAGCGCTGACCTATGGCACGTACCATTTGTGTGATACAAGTAAAGCTACAATGGAAGCAATGTCTCGCGGTGGTTAGAACACAGGCTTCAGAGTCAGGCTGCCACGCCTCCACTTCCGAGCCTTGGGAGCTTGGGCAAATGATTTAATCTCTTTGGGTCTCATTTGTAAGGTGGTATAACATAATACTACACAGGCATCTCCTGCTTAACATAGAGGTTCCTCCTGAAAACACTAACAGGGAGCCTGCTTTTAATTCTTTTTAATTGGGAAAAATATTATAGTGCATTATAAGATCTGCAGCAACTTCTTAAAATCCAGTCGAAGCACAGTAAAATTCATAGGTATATATACAACAAAAAATACTGTTATGTTATAGCTGCTTAAAATGTTACTTTCTGGTCATAACTAATATAGTTATTAACAAAAATTTTCTTTGTGTTAATACTTTCTCTTCATTAAACATTTTTCTTACTGACGTTACTTGTTTTTCCATAGTTTTCTCAATCCTTTTTACCTTTGGGAGGGGACTCACAAAAATGTTGTATTGAGAGATAAATATGTTCTATGAGGTTTGGTTATTAAAAATGAAGATATTTTCTGCTGAGAAATTTTAACCACAGAAATAGTCTATGGAGTGGGCCTGTACAGAGTTCTTAGGAAGATTAAATGCAATAGTACATGTAGAATACCTGGCACACAAATAGCCAATTTACATGTGTTGTATTAATATCCAATTAAAATTCTACCAGATAAGTATTTGTCTGGATATTATATCATTATCTTGGGGAGATCAATAGGTAGTTCAATGTATAGATGAATTGATTTTGTTCTTTTGTTTCAGTTTTACTATGGTAAAATTTAATTTGGCTGTCATTTTATTAGAATTTCTTACTGTTTTCAAGTCTATTTCTGCAGATTCACTCTTCAGACTTTACCTTTAAAAAATATCCCACAAAAACTCAAGCTGCAATTCAAAATCTCTGTCACCAGGTGGTGCTTATTCAAGTTTGTTTAAATCAACTCTTCCTTTATTAAAAAAAAAAAAAAAAAAGCTATTAACTCCACTAAATTGAAGCTAATTGAATCAGTGAAGCAGACAATTATTACAGATTAAGACTTTTTGCTCATTTAAAATTACAATAGTTTGTTTTGTTTGTTATCGAGTCGTAGGATTTCTTTGTATATTTTGGATTCAAGTCCTCTGTCAGATGTATGTTTCAGAAATATATAAGACAAGCCTTCAGTCTATGGTTTGTCTATTAATAATATTATATGGCACAGATAATGACTAAAAATCAGGCAAATTTCTATAGTTAAGAATAAATCTTAACAAATTACAGGATCATATTATTTAAAACTACTATTGTCCAACCTTCCTGGATAAGTTAGTTTCCTCCACAATCCAAACTATATATTTCATAGCAAATATCTAGGTTCATCATACATTTTTGAATAATAATACCTTTGATTAAGTAAAAAAGCTTTAACTGAATGCATTATAATAGTTTTGAAGAAAGAGGCATTTGTAAGACATGATTTTATATATATACACTATCATTCCCTATGAGAAACATTGTTAGGTTATGAGAGTATTACTATAATGTACACACCAGTTAATTTTTTAGACACCTAAATAAAATTTGTATAAAGCCTACATACAAAAGTAAATATTTGATCCACAGAACACTTGATGAGCATTAAACTTTCACAAGAAAATTTCTATGATAGATGGATTTGTCATTTGTGTTGGTATTAACTGAAAAAATATTTTTGACTCAGTTTTGTTGGTGAGCTCTGACTTAAGAAATCTTTATAGTTTCTAAAATAAATCACTATTTGCAAAACCATACGAACTCTAATTAACTTTTGGACTGAACTTGCTTCCAGCAAAACAACAACAACACAAAGCAGATAAGGCAATTATCAGACCCATGAAAGACAGAGGAGAGAAGTCACATTTTTGTGTTGCATTTGCCCAGCATGAAAAGACAATTAACTATCTTTCAAAAGATAAACAATGGGCAGAACTATGAGATAGGACCACTGGATCAAGCCTTGACCTTCTCTACATGCAGTTCACGACAGGAGCCAAATGCTTGTCTTACAACCCCCAGAACTGTAGTTGAAGGACAGATCTCTTGCACCAAGTATCTTGAATGTTAATTTGTTGTGGATTTGGGCAGCCATTTGCTCCTGAAATGAGATATGGACCATTACACCAGCTGGGAGCAACACAAATGTAAAGGGCACTTAACAAAGACCCCACAGTGGATCCAGACTGAGTGTCTCGAACACAAAAGGGCTCCATGAATACATTTATTGCTCTGCTGGCAAAGTGGCACTTGGTGAAGTCTGGATGGCAGACTTAAGCTAAGCTGATCTGAGGTAAAATCCCAAATAACTTATATTTATGAGCTCGAAAGAAATAAAGAAGCTTTGCTTTCAGGTGTAGCCCTTAACTAAGAAAGATGACAAACCACAAGGAATGAAAAGCCAATCTACTTGCAATGACCTGACAGAAGTGTCATCTAACTTTGTGATGAACCATACTCCAGGATTTCTTAACAAGATGATGACAGTATTCAGACATGGCAACTGAACAGATGTGTTGAAACTGAAAACTCATCAGTTTTTCTTGTCAAATATTTAAGACATTGCCTGCTGTATAATAGAATGAAATGTTCAAAAGGTACTTCAGATAACTGTGTCTGCTGCATGATCTGTTATCATGACCTTCGGAATCTAACTAAAAAGTATTTTTATGAAAGTCCATAAACTAATCCACTACATAAATAGAACCAAAGACAAAAACCACATGATTACCTCAATAGATGCAGAGAAGGCCTTTGACAAAATTCAACAACTCTTTATGCTAAAAACTCTCAGTAAACTAGGTATCAATGGAACCTATCACAAAATAATAAAAGCTACTTATGACAAACCCACTGCCAATATCATACTGAATGGGCAAAAACTGGAAGCATTCCCTTTGAAATCTGGCACTAGACAAGGATGCCCTCTCTCTCCACTCTTATTCA